ATTAGCTCATTATGAGCTGATTTTTAGTTCATTTATTGAACTAAAAATTAGCTCATTATTTCTTTAAATGATTTTTCTTCTTTCCTTTTTTTTCTTCTCATTTCCTTGTCCCTTCCCCTTCCCCTTTTCTTCTTGTCTCTTGGAGAACCGTGGCTTACTTTTAAATGGTGGCTGAATTCAAAGCAATAACTTTATAATAAATGTGCTTTAAACTCTTGGGAGTTCGGCCAGCCATTGTTTTTTCCGTGCTTTGATGGTTTCCCGAGCCTGTGTTACTTTGGATTCTAGCGGGCTGTTTTCTTACCGAGACATGAACTCCTTGGATTCCTGTTCTGGTTTAATGTGGAGCTGAATTCCGAACTGGGAAGAAATTTCCCGTGGCTTTGCTGCTTTGAACTCACGGCCTGAGATGCTGGCTCCTTGGATCCGTGAGGTGCTGGCTGTTTTTTCGAACTCTGTGGCTTGGCTGCTTTGAATTTTCAGCCTGTTGAATGTCTCTTTGGTTCCTGGTGAGCATGGGGGAAAATTTCTATGCAGGAAATTAAAGACATGTGGCTCTTGGCATTCCTCTCTTATGCCTATATATAGTAGATGTTATATGAAGTTAAAAGAGAGATTATGATGTGAGTGATTTTTGGAGATAAAACTTGCGGGTTTGTTGTTTGGAAAAGCTTGCGAGCTTTGTCCATTCCCTCTTCCACCTCCTTCGGAAATCCTGTGGGCTCTTTCCAATCTTCGTCTCGTCTCCTAATCTCTTTCTTCTCTCTATAGTAACCATTCCATTGTATCATTCTTCTCAAAGTCAGCAAGTTTAGGGTGTCTTTTTTTTGTCGTCATTTTGTTTGAGTTGTTTGTAAGAGTCAAGGGTTGTAATGTCATCTTATGTTGAAAGTCAAGTTTGTAAGTCTTTTCTTTATATGATATAAAAAGTGTCTTTTGAGTATTTTTATGTCTTTATTTTGTTCTTAGAAAGGTAATCTCTTTTTTTGATCAAAAATTTTGGTCCCTCTCCCAAATTTTT